GGGCCCCTCCAACCCTTTTTTTTTTTTTTTTTTTAAATTTTGAGACAGGATCTTGCTAAGTCACTAAATTACCCAGGCTAGGTTTAAAGTTGTGATCCTCCTGTCTCAGCCTCCCAGAGAATGTGGGAATTACAGGTGTGCACCAGCACACCCAGCTGGGCTCTGCTTTCTAACTAAGGGTGAAGTTCTAGAATCTTCCCTTTGGGTCTATTCCTAGGCTTTTTCTTTTGAGATAGGGTCTTACTATGTAGCCAGGGTGGTCTGGAACTCATGAGGATCCTCCTGCCTCAGCCTCCGGAGTGCTGGAGTTACAGGCCTGCACCCCCACCCCCAGCTCTCCTTTGTATCTTTCATGTGTTGTGCTCTTGGCTGGTGTGCCCTCCCCTCCCACTTCTGTCAAACGTCTCATGCTTTAGGTCCAGCCCCAATGCCACCTCATCTATGTACCAGCTCCTTCTGAGCCATCATAGCACTTAAGCAGCTCTCTTATGGGAGGGATGTTTGGGCCCTATCTATCTATGTCTACCTGTTTGTCTATCATCTTTGCGCTACTAGAAATTTAACCCAAGCCTCTGCATAGAGCTACACGCCTGCGCCTTTATTATTATTAAAAGTGTGATTTTGTGGTGTTGCGAATCAAACCCTTGTGCATGGTAGGCAAGTGCTCTGTCACTGAGCTACCACTCTTAGCTCCTAAAAATGATTTTTTATTTTGAAATAGGCTCTTGCTAAGTTGTCCACGCTGGGGTTGAATTTGCAATGATCCTGCCTCAGCCTCCTAGATTGCTGGAATTATACATTATGTGGCCCATGCCTAGCTATTTATTGTTCATATCTTATTCCCCTGCTAGATTGTTGATCTTCAAAGTCAGGGCTGTCCTTGACTCTCATGGAGAGGCTGCCTTGTGTGGGAGATCACTAGGCTCTTAAAAACTCTTATGGAGTCTGGGAGTGGTGGCGCACAGCTGTAATCCCAGCACTTGGGAGGCTGAGGCAGGAGGATCACCTGGGCTACAGTGAGACCCCGTCTCAAAATAAGCAAACAGCTAGGGATTTAGCGCAGTGGTGCTGGCGCCTGCCTAAGCGAAAGGTTTTGAGTTCAATCCCCACTACCGGAAGGGGAGGGGAAACAAGCAAGCAAGCAAACATTTATGGAGATTTTCAAACATACTGAAGAATAAAGAAAACGGTATGAAGTATAAAATAATATAAAGAACTCCTCATGCCCAAACCTCAGTCTCAACAGCCATAAGCAGAGATGGCCAAATCTTGGGTGTTTTTTGCTTTTTTCATGGTGGTAGAGATGGAACCCAGGGCCAGTGCACACTCAGCCACACGCCCCCTGGGCCAAGCCTGCGTGTTTCTTCTTGGTCCCGGCTCTGGCAGGGGCAGGCCTTGGGCTGCAGTGCGGGGACCTTCCGGCTCCTGGCGCTGTGCTGAGGTCCGCGTGTGGGGAGAGGTAACCTTCAGGTCCTGCAGGCGCAGGGTGGGCAGGGAGGAAGGGGAAGACAGCACGAGGTGGGGGGGCGCTGGGTCCACACAGGCTGCCAAGTCACAGTGGGGCCGCTCAGGACGGTTGCAGGACCAGCGTCTCTATCCTGATTGGACCCAGGTCCACACTGGCTCCCCACGATGTCTCCTCAGCGTCGCGCCAGCCAGGGTAGGTGGTGTCCTGGGAGCCCGCGATCTCCTGGGCTTGCGGCTCCACTCTCCTACAAGGCTGAATCCGATCGGGCGGCCTCTGCTCCCCGCAGGCCTCAGCACCATGGTGGCCTATGGCCTTGTGGACGCCGACACATTGTCCAGCCTCCTCCTCAGCGACTCTTCTACGTACCTTAGCTTCGCAGGGGTGGAGCCTAGAGTTCACCGGAAGCTCCAGGCCCTGGCCCTGCTGCCTGCCCGGGACACCACCCCCAACCCTGAAGCTTTGCCTTCAGAAAGGATAGCCCATCCCACAGGGGCACAGCTCCTTGTGTCATCAGAACTCAAGGTCAGAACTCAACCCGTTGTGGCAACGACCGCCCTACCTTTGGTTCATTCCTCCTCAGGAAAACCTCAAGCCCATTCCTTGACTTTTTTTTTTTTTTTTTAACCGAACTCAGGGGCTTGCGCTTTCCAGTTAGGCGCAGTGCGCTGAGCTACATCCCCAGCCCTCCTTTAACTTTAATGCAAGTAACTGCAGCAACTTCCCAGCTGGTCCCCTCCTGCCTACTTGCAGTTCCCCTTCACACTGCCGGCCTGACAGGTGCGGCTCTACCATGCAAACTGCAGACACGGACCTTGGTCCTTCACTAACCCTTCACTGGCTGCCCTCTGCTGGGCACTGGTTTTCAAACTTGTTTATATGCCATACCCCTCGGCCCCCAGCAGTCCTGGGAATTGAACCCAGGGCCTTCACACTAAGCTATATCTCCAACCCTTTTTTTTTTTTTTTTTGGTACCAGGGATTGAATTCAGGTCCTTGTGCTTGTGCAGCAGGCCATGAAACCACTGAGCTAAATCCCCGGCCCTCTCCAACCTTTTTTGAGACAGGGTCTCACCAAATGCCCAGGAAGTTAAGATCCTCCTGCCTCAGCCTCCCAGAAGACCGGGATTATAGGTGTGTGCCACCATGTCGGTTTTTATGTCAGTTTTAAGTCTCAGAATCCTCTTATGTGATGGAATCTTTCTGAGACTAACAAATCACCAGTTAAGTCACTCACACTGACGAGAGGAGGGAGGGAAGACCAGAGGCGGCCTGCTGGGGCTTGCATTTCCTGCAGCACACACACAGCCTCCAGGCACGTGGACCACTGAGAAGCTGGGATGCTGTCGCTGCACACTGAGCCTGAGGGCTGCACCCAAGCTCCCTTCCTGCTCATCTTGCCCTCTTCCCATATGTTCACCTGTGCTTTAGCCACACTGCCTTCTTAAGACCTCTGGGCCTCTCGGATAACTGTGCCTCAGTGGCTCCCATTACTTCGGGATGAAGACCTGACTCTGGCAGGGCCACAGGGCTCATTTATGTGCAGTTCCCTCTCCTTGGAAGAGAGCCCTGCCACCCTTCAGCGCAACCCCTCAGATCTCTGCTCCAACAGCATTTTTCCTTGACTGCCCAGCTGCTTCCTCCAGCCCAGTGACCCTCTCCCTCCCGCTGACTGTTCCCTCGCTCTTTCCCCACTGCCAGAATTGCTTATAAAGGTTTGTCCAACAAATCCACACGCCTCTGCTGTGCAGATAGGCCAGTGAGACTGAAAGAGAGGAAGCCACTTACCTGTCACACAGCTGATTAAGGACCGGTCTTCTCCAGTTCTCTTGTCCCCTTTTCTCCTTAGTGTAGGACTCAAAATCAATGCTGGATTCCTTCCTGGCTGGCGAGGTCAGTGCCTGGCTCCTACTGTCAGAACTCAGAGGCCTTCTGCTGCTTGTTATTGCCAACAGAACATCCTTCAAGAGCGCTGCCCAGTGGCACTGGCATGTTCTGGAGGTTAAAACCCTCCAATATCCTCATCCTGGTTGCAGGCCACAAGAGTGACCTGGTGGCCGAGTGTTGGGCAAGGCCAGCAGAAAGGGCGAAGGCAGCTATTCCCATGCAGGCTTGAGATGTCCGTCAGGAGCAACAGTGACATCAGCACAGCCTCTGAGCTGCTCCCTTGAGATCTGCGAGCTGTGCCAGGGAATGGAATGGAAGCACGGGTCCCTTTGGGCCTAGCCCCAGGAGGCAGTGGACCCCTGTTGGGTGAGGTGGGCAAGGTAGATGAGCTTTCACGTTGAGCCTGAGGCCTCCCTGACCCGAGGGCACCTCTGGGCCCAAGTAGGGATGGTGCCATCAAAGGCTCAACTCTGAGGTCTGGAAGGGGATTGGCTTCCTCTATGTGATGATGAAAATCCCAGGACCAGGGACTGTGACAGCGGAGGACAGCCAGGGCTTTCCCCAGGCTACTCCTGTTCTTTGTCGGGGCCAAGAAGGAATCCAACTTTCTCTAGGAGTTGCAAAAGTGTTCAAACAGGGTTCTTAGCCACATTAACATTACCCAAACCAGGATACTATTAGTTTGGGGTCTGTTTCCCAGCTGAAGGAGACAAAGCAGACTCAAACACCTACTGATGGTATGGCTCCTAGGAGTAAAACAATGGGAAATCCCAGCGTATGCCTCAGAAATCAATTCCAGTGCTTCCCCCTGCTGGTCAGATCCCCTCAGGCCAGTGTCAAAGGCTCTAAGCCATGCACCCTGTGTCTTTCAATTAATAACTTCTTTATTCTGGAAAAGCAAATCAAATTCATATTCATATAAACACTGACATTACAAAGTACAGGGAAAAGGGGGAGGGAGGAGGAAACAAAACCCTCTACAAATCCTAATACTGTCTCATCCAATAAAACCATAATGTTTCGTCCCATATTCAATCACTTATATAATAAACCACAAATAAAATCTTCTCTGGAAGATATACTGCTCCTCTTTAAGACGGCAGGGAAAAGGAACTGGAAATTGGGGTAGGAGGCTTTATTCTTTTGGCAGATCCTCTCAGTCATTATAGATATTGCTGCACTGTTAATAAAAAATATATGCTTCTCTGTAAAGCATTAAAAAAAAAAACAAAACTCCAAGGATGAGATGGCTGAGGTCTCAGCTCAAATATCTCCAAATACATTGGACAGGTCCATACCCTGACCTTTCTGTGTGTTATTTCTTGGTTGTTTTCCGGATCAATGCCATTCTCTGAAAGGAGAGAGAAATAAGCAATTACACAGGTTCAAGCCAGGAGCTTGCAGGGAGCCTTGGGGAACTGCAGCCACAGGAGCACAGTGTGAAGGGCCCGGGGATGTGTGGACTGGCCGGGGAACACTTCACCTAGACCTCAACTGCTCTAGGCTACCAGGACAGCAAAAAAGTTAAGAGCAGAAAGAGACAGCCCTTGTCTTTTGGAAACATAGGGGAAAGGCTGGCAAACATGTTTTCCAGGCTCTTCCTGACCCCAGTCTCTTCCTCCCTAGAGTGATGGAGAAAATAGGGAAAGGACCTCCATTTCAAACCGGGTGCCACATCCAAGGAAGCTGGCATCTCACGGGTGACCTGCAGTGAAGGGCAACAACTCCTGGCTTTTTTTTTTTTTTT